GTTTGGACTGCAATGGAAAAACTCTACTGAATCATCTAAGTTAATGCAGAAGTTATTTCTTTTGTTGACTTTTGCGTCGGTTATTAATGTTTCCACTTGGAGGAGACAGATGATTATTTCAGGACTTTTACGCATAATTATCCGGCTGCGAAAATTCTTTCATTTATTTTCTCTGCGTTTTTCAGCGACTTAATTTTTCAGGGGAGACACAACTTCAAAAATTAAAAGGGGGAGAGCATTATTTTGTGTTAATAACCTCTGGATTTAGCAGAACAAAGCCAAAAGTTTCTATTAAATAATTATGAAACAATTGTATAATTTGGAAAGTTTTCTCTAAATAATTTAATTGTTTAGCATTTTTTTGAATTGGTAATTTAAATCATGCGAGTGAAAGAATGTTAGAACTTTTGTTCTTCTAAACGCATGTTTGTGACAACCAACTTTCGCTGTGTTGTTCTTGTCGAAAAAATTTTGAATCTCATGACTTGCACTCTTCAATCACGTTTCAACGAATTGCCCAAGAAGTAATTTTTCGGTCGAGAGCGCGTTGTTTAGGATTGAGAAATCGGCCAAAAGCACTCAATCCATCGAAGATCCGAAATCCGATTTTGTCCGCACGATTTTTGCGTACATCAACCTTTTGTTTCGCTTCACACCGACACCGGCGGCGGTGTTTTTCGTTGCGAAACCCACCAAAAACCAAGACTCGGCCTTGCTGCGCGCTAGTTAATTTTTTCCGGACGCCAAGGCCGGTGAAAAAGCACACAATCTAACTAAACTTCATGCACTTAATTAGTTCGACAATGAGACAGTTGTGTGAATTCTTAAGAAGGTGTATCCGCACTGCTTTCGCCAGAGGTCGCAATTTCAGTGAAAAATTGATGCAATTGAAGATGGCGGCGGGGTGAGATAGAGGTCTCGAATCCGGCTGACGACGAGTGACTTTCGAATAATTGCACATTTGAAAGTTCAAGGATCGGGCAGGGCTCTAGGGTGGAAAAAGTCGAGTTGGACATCCCAACGGGATGACTTTTACGCAGATTTATTGTTCGCGTTTTGCTCGCCTTGTGTAATCGCAATTAAATTAGCGCTTTCTCGAATTAATTCAACAATTTCACTAGGCTTTTTTTTATTTTAAAAAAACTAAAAAAATTAAAATAAATATGTTTTAAAAATAATCTGACTTTGATTGTATTTTGGACCCGTCTGCGATTTGTAGACTTTGGAAAGTAAAGTAGATCAAATAAAAAAGGTTTCTAAAACTTTTAAAATGAAACAATCAAAAATTTTCACATTTTATAGTTATTTGTGTATCAAAAAAAGGCCGAAGGCAGCCGAGGGCGTTTTCATTCGACGGATTAACGATGTCTTCCCAACAGACTAAATTAATAATAATATAAAAAAAAATAATAAGTTTTAAGTGCAAAATTTAACGCTTTTGATTGGATTCAAATATCATAATACAGAAAGTTTTAAGATAAATCATTGGAAAAATTGAAAAATAACTATTTATACAATAAATGTTAATTTTTCCAAGTTACAAAAGTTCAAAATTCAAGTTTTAAAATCCAAAATGAGTACACGCTTGTGGAAAACTATGTTCTGTTCTCAATTTCCTATTCCTTGCATTTTTCAGTTGTTTTCTGTATTGCATGTCTTCAATACGAAAGCTCCTTTTCAATTACAAGTACTTTATTACTGTAGCACTTATTAATATAAAATAATTCCATGTCATTTTTTTTAATTTCTTCCTGTAATTTGTTTCAGAACATAGCAAAAATTTGAGTTTTTACATGAATTTTTTGAAAATTTTAAAAACCCGCATAATTATTTATTTTTTCGTTTCGCAAGATGTTTTTAAATTATTCCTTAATAACAAATTTTTAAGACACATGTATTTTACGTTCGTTGTAGCCTATTTGTATTTATTATTAAAAGACGTTACATTATGTTGATTTGGTTTTCAACATACATCGAAAATTCTTATCGACGGTGAAAGAAGGGTCATTTATTTTTTTTATTTTCATCGGAAACAATGGGATCTAAAAGTGATCGTCTTCGCATAGAATTACTTATAAATGACACTAAAAATGAAAAAAGTAAAAAACGCTAAAATCCAAAAAATAATAAGTTTTTCCAGATTTTCCTTAGCCCAGCCGTTATTTTGGTTTTTATTTCCTGCGATTCCTTAATTACCCAAGTTTACTCATTAACGCTCTTTGATTCGACTTTCCCAAGGGTAATTAGTCGAATTATTGACGAATCCTTTGGTTCGATTTCGCCCAAACGCCGCGTTTTCTTTTAAAACACCTCGATTTATCACAACAGACACGTATCGATCCACTTGTTTCAATATAAATCTGTGGTTAAATTCTTACATGGTGGTTTAAAAGACCCCAGTTGGTGTTCTTGTTTCACACAATTTATTTCACCAAAGTACATTTTTTACCACACTACTGCTGGATTTCCAGCTGCCAAGTTGTCTCACCTAATGACATTTTGTCACTTGTAAACTCAATCTTGAGGGTTCTCGTAACGCTCGTTGCGCGACGAGGACCCACTCAATCATGTATTTTATAGGGGGGGAATTTTTTTCTAATTGAATAAGGTAAATTTGTAATTGCGTCTTTTCGCGTAAAAGTGCACAGGCGTACAAAAGAATTTCAATCTAACGGTCCCTCGATATTCCGGTTTCTTGTTCCCTGTTGTCATAGTGGGATTTCTCTATTGTGTGTCGTTTGATGGACAGTTTCATTTTCATGCACTAACGAAACCCGAGGAAATTCCTCGGGTCCTTGTCGAGTGCGAAAAAAGCACTCAATCCATTGTTGTATTTTTTCCCCGTTGAAACGCAAAAGGATTAAACATACGCCATTGTGATACCTGTTTTCGTGGGAGTATCACCTTGGCTACACCATTATTATAGCTCGCATCATCATGCCTTTCTAATTTACCGATCGATTCGAATGGTACGCGGGTTCTTCCTCACCCATATACCCGTGGACTGGTTCTGCAAGCTTTTATACTCTCCATTCAGTGGTCTAATGAGTCACTTGACGAGGTTTTCATTCATCTCGACCTCAGTTGCATAACAAACACCGAAATTGGAAGAAAACTGGAATTTAGGGGCCTGAAGGTGGGCGGATCGCGGCCGAAACAGGTATCACGTAAAAGCGCCCGGCCGAACCCCACAATTAACCACACAAAGAGTGGATGCTTATGTAAATTCCTCAACGGGTGAGAGGAGGACAGCCGATCCAGCCTTTTCGTAATTGGTTAGAGCGATGTGAGAACAGGATTTTTTCTTGTGGAAAGTTCAGCGGATTCCTTTCACTTTATGTTGTTTAAAGAAACGAATTACCGAATCTAACCGGAATTTTAACTAGGGCGAAATTAAATTCCAACCCCTTTTTCGCGGCTCTCACGCAAGGGGTGCGTTTACACAATTGTGGCCCCTACCAGCCGATGAGTGTTGCATCTGTGGTCGTGACAGTGAGGGTGTGATTTATGATTCTGGGTAGAAAAAGACGGTCGAAGGCTGTTTTGTTGGAGACGAGTTTTGTCACTTGCTTATGTATGGCTTGAACATTATTAATTTTAAGGGATGTCTGGAAAAATCAAACAGATGGTCGACCGGAAACCAACACTCCCTCACACAAAACATTACATAATTTTTTGCAAAAATGTGCTAACCTGAACTTTCACTTAATGAAAATCGATAACTCTTGAGACATCATCAAGTCAAGGGTCACTCGCGAAAAACTCCCGGACGAATTTTTATATCGTCAAGAGCCACAAAAAGAAAATTCGCTTAATTCTAGTCTAGAATCGACAACAATAAAACGCAGGGACCTCAGGTAGAAGATATTTGTAAAGACCGTGAGGATGAGGGTCGTAGAGTGCTCCATCATTTCAAAGAATGTTTGTTTCGGTTTAGCACAAAATACCAATTTTTAACCAGACTTGTGATCGATTTAGTTTCACTCTTGCTCATGTAAAGAATTTTTGAGCAAGAAACGGAAGTTTGGCTTTTTTATCACAGGAAGCAAGTCTCAAACTAATTAATACTTATCTGCTTCTTGAAAAATGATAAATATGCCAGCGCAAGTGCATGTACATGTACCCAATTAGATTGTAATTTAAAAAATTCGACGCTGGAGGTTCGGTTCATTCTTCCCAGTCCAAGTGTAACAAATTTCGAACGATAAAAACTTGTTCAAATGCATGTCTAAATTATTAATTGAAAGGCAAGTGTGGAATTATCTGATCAAATATCATGGAGTCACGCCAACTTTCGCCAATAAAGCCATTTACATATATCTGGGATGATTTTTCTAGGAATCTCGTCTCACAACTGCTTAGAAATGCAGTCATTTAGAATTTATGTTGCGTTTGCATTTTTCTACAAATAATAAGCTTATTTGTTATGATTTGCATAACGACACATCCTTTGTATCTGTGTTTCTTATTACCGGCATTCCACGGTGCTGCGGCGCGGATTATAGCGCAACAGCCTCTACAGAGTGGCTCGACTAATATTTTTTTATTTGTCTCTGCTATAAACATAAAAAAGTTGGCTCGGAAACGGTAACATCATTCATTTTACATTTATAATATTTTGTTTTAAATCATTAACAGTACGACACGAAAAACTTAGCTGGGTCATCCTGTGCATGACCATGATACGAAAATATGATTTTTTCTGAATAAAAAATATGCAAATACAACTTTAACTCATGCGAATATAAACATAATACACATTATTATAGTCTTTGGTGTTAGCAGGTGGTACTCCTGTTCAAAATGCAATTCATGTAAAGCTTCTTTTAATGCAATAATAACAAACAGTGAATAGAATAAGGGATCCAACAAAAAGATCCCCCTATTGATCAAGGTTTACTTCCTTATTTCTCTATGAGGTTTATTGAAAAATTATTTAATTTTTACCCCTTTTTTCTAATTGCATGAAAAAGCAACCAATTAGTATGTTTTGTCCTCACCTTCTGAATCCCCCTGCCGGAAACGGAAACCTAAATCCCGAGGGCGGTGGTACGGGAACCGCCACCGGGCCTTGCCCCCCCACGACTTGCGGGGGCGGAAACGCCACTAAACCACTAGGCACTACATTGTTAGGTACAACACTTTGCAGATGCGGTGGTGGTACCATCATAGGGTTCGGTAGTACCACATTTGGGGGCGGCACGTTGTTCGGTAAGGGTGAATAGGGAGGCGGCATATGACTGTTGAGCAAATCCGGAAGCCTTTCATTTTGTAAAGTATTAGCTTGGGTACCACTGTCGACCGTATGTCGATGATTGGTACCGTTGGTTCGTCTTTGGTGGCGCCGTTCCCGACGTTCTTTCCGTCTCTGCTCTCGCGTCGTCGTCGTGTCTGAAGGTGGACAAACGGAGATTTCGTCCGTTTGGGCCTCAGTTGAGGTAAAGGTTCGCGGTGGGTTCCGCGGTGGTTGGACCACGTTGACGGAGGTCGGGTTGTGTACCGTGACTTGAGTGGTTCCGGTCACAGCTGCGGAACCCAACGGCATGATCTGGACGTTGGAAACATTATTGCCTTCGAGAGTGTTGAGGCATTGGATGGTGGGTACCGAAGACACGACATTTACGGGTACTGCTCGGTAAAAATTCACGTTGATGTTACTGACGTTGGGCATTTGTTTGGGTACCGATGCGCTCCGGAGGTGGGTTATGGGGTCGGGGGTGCGGGCAGGTTCGGAACCATTGCGAGGATGGTTGGGGAACACTTGGAGGTTCCGCGATGGTACCGACGCTCGTCGCGGATTCTCAGGCAAACCCACGACATTGGCACTACTCAGCGAGTTCTGGTTCTGGAAGAGGGTCAACCCATTGGTACCCGTGGGGATGTTCAACACGTTGGTGATGGTACCAGGGTCGGGTTCCGTGACTTCCAGTTGCATATCACTGTTTTTACAGGGCAACACATCACAATCACTGGCACTATCACCGATACACGTCACGGTACCACCGTCGAACAACTCCAGTAAACTGGCTTGACTGTTCAACCTACTTGTGGCATAACAAGAGAACGCGTCACGTGACCGCTTGCCGGGCCGGCATTGGTGCGTCGACAGCTTCAGGTTGTTCACCATTTCGGTACGAAGATTTAGGTCTGATGAGTGTAAAGGGCCTTTGTTTGGAGACTCATCAAGGTCGCTTAACGTTACACTACTGCTGCAAGAACTGCAATTCTGGTACTCGTACGGCTGCCATAACAGCGAACTCAGAGCCTCCTCCACATCCTGATGGAACGAATTCCTGTTCCTATCTCGGGAACACGACGGGTCATTATCACAAACGCTTTTCGAGGCACTTGATTCACTCAACGCCTTTACATTGAGGATATTCAAACTGTTTTTATCCTCGTCGAGGGGCTTCTTTATACAAAACAGTTTGTTTTTGAGACTGTGGCTCTTTTTATCGCCCGAATTGCGATTGATATCCACCAATAAATTATTATTAATGCCATTGTCAGGACAGATTAAGCTATTGGGGTGACTCCACGAGTTATTTCGCCGCGGGTAATGTTTCCGGGTGTATTTCCGGGACGGCGAGTCCGGCGGACGACCCTCTTCCGGGAAATTATTGAAAGTGGCCATAGTTTTTCTTTGGAACGGTCATAGTTCAGCGGAACCTGAAAAAACACAAACAAATAATTTACATTCGAAACATGCATTTTGATGCAATTGCGGCCAAAGTTTAAACGAGTTGCGACAAGCTACGACGTGACTATTTTAAATTAGGGTCTCAAGGACCCCACCAGATATAGACAACCAACCTCGCAACTCGATTTTCATGAGACCATTTTTAGTTTCATTTATGAAAGTGATGAGAATTTTGGGGGTTTTCTTTGTCAAGAAAGTCGGAAAATTGTGTAGGAACGACAAAGCTCTACATTTATCTTTGTTTTTAAATATATTTAAATTTGATATTTCAATTTCACAGTCGGGGAAATTCAAATGTGATCGAAGGGGCGTAAAGTTGGACCGTACAAAGAAAAAAAACCTACAAAGCACCCCTTGGAGGGCTGCAAAAAACTTGCAACTGCTACTGACATTTTTAAAACGAATTATTTGTAAACACAGTTGTATCATTAGTTTCGCTTCAATTTTTCAAGCAAAATAAATAGAAATCTTCGTCCTAAATTTGTCAATAACGACATTATAATGACGTTCTCAAAAATAAAATTTCACTTTAATATAAATTAAAACTCGGTTTTAATCGATGCTTTGTTTGTTTTTGAACTGTGATAACAGTTTTCTCTTCTGAATCATCTGTTGTTTGTTAGAGAAAGATAACGATTACCACCTGCTTGAAATTTAATTACAGAAATGTACAGCAAGCTTAAAATAGCGTGATTTATGGAATTTTTGAGGCCTCGATAAACTCCTCCGAAATTAGGTCTCGGTAATGATTATGATTGATATTTCGGTTGTAAAGCTTCATTGTTTTCGGTAAAAACACATTAACCTAAAATTGGAACTAAAAACAAAACAAACAAATTCACGAAATTTGAAGTTGGAGCAGTATCTAGGATTTTTTCCAACTTTTGTGAATAAAATTTCATTGCCTTTTTGTGGGCCTAGTAATAATATAAAATTGAACAAAAAGCTACTATGCTCCTCGCCAGGCACTTGAAAACTCGCAAAAAGCAGGAATAAATTCATAAAACTTTAATAGACGCTGTGCTTTGTATCCTCCTGTTAGAATTGAGTATTGAAAAAGCAAAAATATCACAATGAAATGTTGACTTGGCAGTTTAATTAAATATTTATTAACAAAATTTGAATACAAAAAAAAATGAAGGATTTTAGAACTTATAGTTCATGCTCTTTTGTCTGCACTTAGAGAGAATATTAAATTTCTTTTGTTCCTAAATGAAGAACATTAAGTTCCGTTGTATCATTGTTGCGTCTATTAATTTTTTTTGTATTTATCCCGATTTTCCCATTCATAACCAATCTAAATGTTCAAAGCTATAAACCCCAAATTACTCCTCTGTTGACTTTGGCGTTAAATCGAAAAATTCACATTTGCACAGTTGATATAAATTATTAAGAAGCTTTCTGTAATTCCTCTTTTACATTTTAATCGTGGCCAAGTAGCCGCGTTAATTTACGAATGAGGATTACATGCAAATGCCGCATTACTGGTTGCATAACAATTAAAGCAGATTTTTCACCGACTTTTTCCATTTTTGTAATTTCATTTCAGCAATTTGTAACACGGAATGCATTTTAATTATACACGATGTAGTTTTAATTCCCGCACGTTTTGCAAAAATTTTGTGCAGACATCTCGAGATCCTGTAATGAGAACTTACCAATCTGTTATTAATATATCACCCCGATATGTAAATGAAACCGGGGATATTAAAAGCCGGAGCATTTCCAATTTTATAATCGAGTAAACGTGACGGTGATATTTTATGCATTTTCGTGTGACTGTCACGTTCAATTTCCGGGTGCAAAAATGAGAGAAATGAGGAAAATGGATCAAACAACACTATCAAAGTTTGGAAAAATTGTGTATAACACGCGGGACTACAAAAACATTACTTTTTTGTATTAATCTATGAAAAAAACAAAATTATTTATTAATGGTACAGCCACGAGGCTATAATTTATTCACCAAGTTGGTAATATTGATTCAAGCGTTGTAAATAATAGAAAACCTCTCAAACTCGTCAAGTTGGTAGCGTTTTACTCTCCCTTTCGAGGTTTCGTGATGTTTAGCCATATTTTCACTGATATCTGAAGTAGCTATTTCGTGAAACTCCTCCATGAAAATATTAATTTAGTTAAAGCTTGTATTCAGGTTTACTGCCTTTAACGCCTATAACAAGCGAAGAAGCTTTACAAATTTCATAATAAATTACGGAATTGTTAACCACAACATTGGAAATATTTAATTAGTTTTTGATTAATTAAGGTACGTTTCTCCAACAAATATTTATTATTTACTTGCTTAATTAATGAGATTTAATGATTAATTAATCACCTGGCTACAAATTTATTCGAATTTGACTTTAAACTTTATTTTAAAAATAAAAAGCGAATTTTTACACTAATTGTTATTTATTTACAACAAAAAAGCAAACAAGATGTACAGTTGTCGGTTTTAAGAATTTTAGATCCATGAAGAAAAAAAAAAAACAATTACAAATCCTCAGTTGAAAAATTAGACGATCGTTACAATTTTTTTTATCTAGTTCACGATTACTTCCTCTTAGTATTCATTTAGAAAATATATAGAAAAAAAACATAAATAGGCAAGGTATTAAACGATTTATGAAAATGTTCTTAGGTATAATTATATTGCTTACTTGTAATTATTTATAAAACATTGCCAATTTCTATTAAATTATCACTTTTCATAAAATTTACTTACTTAATGTTAAATTACCTTAAATGCGCTACTGGAACAATAATAAACAATATAGACGTTAATTGTAAAGACTTTGATTCTTTTCCAAAAATTATTGATTAATTTTTTGGTGTATAATTAAATTACATCACAAGATAATAAATAAAAGACAAAATAAAAAAATAAAAAAGAAAACAAGTTTACTCGACAATAAACTTTTGTATACAACACATTTACAACAAATATCATTAATAGATATTAATTAGCCACAGCTTATAACTATTTTGATAAAATTAACTAAAAAACCTTGAGAAACTTTTCCTTCTTAGGCCAAAAAACGTAAAATTTTGCCCTTACAATGGGTATATGTAAAGTTGTGTCAGACTATTTAAAAAAACTCCAATTGTAAGAAACAAACGATAAAGAGGAAAAAACAAAAAAGAAAGTAAAAATAAGTTTCGCGGCACGTTACAAATTTGCAAAAGATTCTTGGTGTACTCAAACTTTGTTGATTCGATTAAAATTGTTTTAGGTATTATTTTTTGTTTTTGTTTTTTGGAAAATTGAAATTAGAAAAAAATGTTCTTTAATTAATTGGTTTTTAATTTTTAGCATTTAAAATAATATCTTTGTTAAATCAAAATCCGTTTAGGATTTTTTTAATTTTAGTATAAATTTTTGGGTCGGCTAATTTGCTAAAATTGAAAGGAACGGCATGTAAATGAATTTCTGGCGTGTCCAAACGGGTCAGCAACAATATGCGCTTGTTTTCCCGGATTAGACAAAGGAATAATTAGGCGGGAAAATTCGTTACATAAACTGTTTGCGCTAAACAATAGACCGCGATGAATTTACAAGCCTGAAAACGGTCAAAAACCCCAAAATTAAAACATAAAATTCGCCCCTTTTCATTAAACAAAAAGCCCCCGAAGTTTTAATCCCGTTCGCAGTCAATATCAAACCACTTAGCAATAGCCTTTCATCAGCCACTCGGCTCTAAAATAAGATTTCAAGTGGATAATCTTGAATTTTGTGGAAAAAAAGCCTCGCGATGAAATCCCCAATCCGTGTTTCGATGCTCTCCAACACGATAAATAATCGGGGTGGCGTGTTTACAAATTGGCTCAGGAACGCTGCTTCTATTACTTTACCTAAAAAACAAACTATCTGACGTGTATAAATTCCAGACGTAAATAAATCCGACTTGATATTTGCCTTATGCAAATGGCGAATCGTAAGTAAAACCGAGTGCTGACATCAATCAAAACGGAATAAACATGTTTGCTGGAAGTCACGTCGGATCTAGACTCGGTGAGAGCTTTGAAAGCGAAAAGCTCCCTCATTCAAATCGCTTCAACGAAAATTGCTGTACATACGGATCGACGATCATTATTCCACCCTGAGAGTTGTAATAATAAAGCTACTCTAACTGAAAATTTCCCCCAAGCTCCAGATACCTAACTGCCGGTCCAAGCACCGACACCGGCTTTTATACTCCCTGAACGGAGTGGGGGGCCGGTCATACAGACACCTACTATTTTTCCGTTTGCTATGGTAATTTTATTCATAACTCTGCACAAATCTGGCTTGATGATGCAATTCCTCGTATTTAGGGGACGCATTTTGAAGGCCTCACCCTCAGGCAATGACACGAGGTTGTATCCCCTCGAGCCCTGAAAAATCCGACATGTTTTGCTCCAGTTGCGGAGAAAACACTTTTATAAAATTAAAGTACTTTTTTTCTTCTACAACAATGTGTGTGTTGAAAAATGGTCGCCGCAGCGGCCATAAATTGCTAAAATCGAATCGGGGTTGCATAATAAATCACTTCCGGATTTATTGATACGTTTCACTCGATTATTAATAGGGGTGGGGGCGGTTTAATTGATACTATTTGTGAATTGGGCGGCGAAAACCGGTGCATGGTGTCAAATGCAAGCGGGACCGCTGACAAGCCACTTAACAGAGGTTTATGTTCCTAACGATGAGTGTACTGAATATTCCAGGATATGAGGAGACTGATCAATAAACTAAATGTTACGCGGGTTGTGCACTAAATGGGCCGGAGTCGAATTGGATTTCTCAATGGGACAGAAATTGTAAGATCGCATTGTGACGGCAAATTTATTTTTGCACAAGAGAGGACAAATATTTACAGAATTATTACTACAGGATGCCTCAGCTTAAAGCAAAACACTCTGTGTAAACTCTGTGTGAACATTAGCCATTGTATCAGTGGCGTAGCTAGGATATATTTTAGAAACATTC